GCCATTTAGACTAGTGAATTGTACCCTGTCAGATAAGTAACTGCGGATCAAATTTAATACGATACCTCTAATACCGTAGTAAGGGAGTTTGTGAAACAAAATGAAATTCTTTATGGAATCAAACGCCTTTTTGAAGTCTAAAAATATTGCAAGAGTATATTGCTTATAATCCATGTTAATAAGTATTTTTTCTTTAATATCCAAGAGTGCCATTTCAGTTGATTTCTTTTCACGGAACCCGAACTGTTGCCTTGCAAGCATTTGATGGTCACCAAGAAACTTCATTAGTCGTGATTTTAATGTATATTCTAAAACTTTGGAAAATAAATGTAGCACGGAAATAGGCCGGTAGTTATTTCAAGTCGTCGTGAGAGCCACCTTTGTGGATGACTACCACCTTATCTATCTTCATGCCATCAGGAAAAATACCAGTGGCAAAAGCTTGATTGCAGATATGCTGCAGTGGGCCACACAGTAATTCGGCGACATGTTTAATTTGTTCTACCTTAATGTCATCGTAACCAGCGGCAGTATTTTTATTTAAAGACTTCAGGTTCGTAAGTATTTCTAATTGACTACAGGAAGTCAAGAAAATAGAGTTCGCAGAGAAAGAAGAAATGCATTTTTGGCAGTCGTTTGCTGCGTCCCTTGTCTGAGCTGCTGCACCTGAGGTTAAGAAATGATTATTAAATTTATCCGCCAGACGAGCTTCTCTAAACTCAACACCGTCAATTGTTAATGCTGAAGGAAGAGAACCTTTTGTTGTTCCTATGAGTGTACGTACCGAGTTCCATGCTTTCTTTGGATTGAAAGAGACCTCTGCAAATCGAGCCTGATAATACTGAATACGGGCTCTCTTCAAATCAGAGTGTAATTTGTTGCGAACTTTTTTATATTCATGTAATATAGATATGTCTCTTATCCTAATAAAGTTATGGTATAGTTTATCTCGTTCTCTGATTCTGTTGTAAAGACCTCTGTTAATCCATGGTTTCCTAGACTTTCCGTGCTTTTTATAGTATTGTAGTGGGAAGGCAGCATCATAACAGCGCTTTACATGTTGCAGGAACCGATCATACGATATATTAGGGTTTTTCTCACTGTAGACAATCTCCCAGTAGATACTCTCAATACTAGCATGAAATGCTGACAAGGCATTGGTATTGAAAGAGTGATATGGAACAGGAGCATCGTTAACACTATTTTTTCTTTCTTAGCGGCAGGAAAAAAACAGAATATGGACAAGTGATCGCTCAGATCAGTTGTTAGCACACCAGCACTAACGTCGTTCCGACGTCACTTCGTGAGGAGATACTTTGTGCTTGCCACGATGAGCCAACGTCTGGTCATCTCGGATACACACGCACATTGGCCAGAATCCAACAGAAATACTACTGGCCAAGACTTCCAGCTATTGTGAAGCATTACGTGCGCACGTGCTTCGATTGCAACGACGAAAATGCCACCGTTAAAACCAACTGCGACTATTACAACCAATCAAGTGCCCACGGTACCTTTTGACCAAATTGGAATGGATCTCCTTGGACCATATCCGACTTCCCATGCTGGCAACAAGTGGGTATAGTCGGCACTGATTATCTACGCGCTATGCGGAAACAAAGGCTTTGTCAAGTGGCACCGCCGTTGAAACCGCAAAATTCTCATAGTAAATATCGTCCTGAGGCACGGTGCTCCAACAATCATAATAACGGATCGAGGTGCCGCTTTCACGGCGCGCTCTGAAGACAATGCTTGAGCTCAGTGGAACAGCCCATCGGAAAACACTTCCTATCATCCACAAACCAACGGCTTAACAGAACGCCTCAACAAGACTCTTGCCGACATGTGAGTATGTACGTGAAGTGGATCACAAGAACTGGGACGACATTCTACCGTACATCACGTTCGCCTATAATACAGCGCAGCAAGAAACTACACGAAGAACGCCGTTCAATCTCGTTCATGGCCGTGAAGTGACGACGATGCTTGAGGCCATGTTACTGCACGACTGCAGTGACATCAATTTGGACGCTGCATCTTTTACCCAACGAGCAGAAGAAGCGAGGCAGCTTGCGCGCGTCCGAATCACCCAGCAGCAAAATTATGACGCCCAACGTTATAATCTGCGACACCGACATGTCGTCTATCGGGCCAGCGACAAAGTCCAGGTATGGAGTCCTATCCACCGCAGGGGACTGTCCGAAAAATTGCTGAAGAAGTATTTTGGCCCCTACACAGTTTTAACGCCTGAGCGTAATTAACGCCTGAGCGACATTAATTACGTGGTCGTTCCTGACAGCCCCTCGACAACTCGCCAGCAAAAACGAGAAATCGTGCACGTTATGCGAATGAAGCCCTATTTTTCGGACTGATTTACACCATACATCTACTACACCGTCTTTTGTAGAAGAGCATCGGGACGCTGCTCTCTGGAGGGGGGCAAATGCCACATTGAATAAGCAGCGCCAGGAGAACAACGAAGAACACGCGCAGAGAGAGAAGAAGACGAGGTTCTCTTCCGATCAGTTTGCCAGTGTTCTGGTACAATTAAAGTGAGTTTCCTGGATTCGACTGCTGATGTTTCTGCATTGTGACAATATATGCACGAACATGCTCTTAAAAATTCGCGCGTCGCGCCATGTTTTTCTGCATAAGCCAGCGGCCTCTGTGCTGCTCGGCATGCAGTACTGTACAGGAGGAACGATGACAGTTAACAGCATCAGTGTATGCGCACTGCCATCACGCATGCGTTATATATAAAGCCTATATGACGCTATCTTGTCGCTCACTTGTTCGCATTTTACTCGTGAAGAGGCTCCCTTGTTGAAGCCAAAACGTCGTTCTTTTCTGTGTGGTGTTTAAAATTCACTTGGATCGGTGTCGCGCCAACGATTTTGTCGCCTTCACCAATCACTTGTTTTAGCAATCTAATTACATGTGTTGGGTAATAGTGAGCACTCTCGAGTAGTTGTGTAACCTACGCCTGTGCCCATGCACACACTAGCCCAATGCGCCACAGGATTACGGGAGGTAGAAATTCGTAGCTTGAGCCGCGAACACCCCCAGACGTTCGACGTTCTGCGGTCCCCTGTTTCGCTCCACCAAGGTACGCTATTCTCCCGCCGACATCATTGCACATCTGCACCATTACAGCAGGATTTTGATTGGTCTGCGCTATCGCACTCGAAGTAAACGGTAGTGAAACACCGTTGGTGCACGTGAAAGTTGCACTACTTCGAGAACGACACGTAACAAGTTTACACGAAGCGAAAGGCAAAGACCATATCTGCGCCGAAAGTGAGCCCCCAAAGCGAGCGCGTCGGGGACTTTTTGCTGCTATCGCCATGCTTAAACGATCACATGATTGCTCGCCGGCATGCGTTCTAGAAAGCCATGTTTTAGCTGCATCGTCTACGAATGGTCTCTATTGACCCCATTAGGTGTATGACACATTACTTCTCATCATCACTCACAGACAGGCGACAGCACCACCCCGCCCCACTAACAGACAGAACCTTGCGAGAAAGGCCGTGTGAGCCATACAAGGCGCGTTCGTAGGATGCCCTTGACCTGTTGCGATACCCTAGTTAGCAGAGCGTCGCGCGCATACCGTCGCTGCCCGAGGAGTCGTAGATTTTGTTCCCAGTCCGGTTTTCAATTTAAAAATTTTTGGTCTGTCTGTCTGTCTGTCTTTCTGTCTGTCTGTCTGTCTGTCTGTTTGACCAGCGTAGCGATACCTTAAACGGCCAACCCCATCCGCAGCACCAACCAATATTACTCAAGTTTAGGCGTTCATACTTGTGAGATTGTCAATAAAAAATCAATTATTGCGCATATGCGAGTCACTATAACAACAAGCCGATATTCTGTATGTGTGTCTTAATACTAGGGAAGGCATAATAATTATATCTAAAGACCGTAGCGTTTATCACGCTGCGCTGACTATGCAACGCTATGCTCAAAAAGGCGAGTGTTTCCAACGCTTCGCTAAGACGACATGGTGGTGGCACCTGCCCGTCGCTTTGCGTTCTACACCTTATCGCCTCCGAGACAGGCGGGCACGCCTTCCTTCGTTTTCGAAGATACCTGCCATATAGCGCTCGTGGCTAACGTGCCTTCGCGTCATGGAGAGAGACACTCTAAAGTAGCGCCTCTGGAACAGAATTCACTGATTTTCTAGCGCAGGGCATCAAATAAACGTTTCGTTCACTCTCTGCAGGCGCAAAACTATCGTCTTTCGACGACATTTGCAGTGAAACGTGCAGATACAGGGCAAATTGTTTTTCTATCAAAATGTATCTTTTGGATTTGATAGCGTTCAATTTATTCTCGTCATATCCGTGACTGAAATATGTTAGTTATGTTTTGGTGAACCGTGGCAAAGACGTATACTTTCTTTTTAAAAACAAATATGAAGGAAACACAATGTCGGCTGTACGCGAAGGATCGCTCACATGTTTTCGTCAACAAGGACCAAGCGTTTCTGTGTAACTCTGCTCCACGAATTCGGATGTGCCAAACCCATTGCCGTTCGCCGCTAAAGGACCTCTTCTCGAAACATAAATGACATCTTTTGCACTTTTATCTCTATGACTGCAGTATTCACTATAAAGGGGGAGACAGCCCACCCTTAAACCTAATCGTTCTGTCATGTTGACGCATAAGTATCTTTTATTTGAGGCGCCCGATACATTGCTTCATGTGTATGAAATGCACATACAGATAACACTTTGCCAGATGCCTTCGTATATTACATGCTCCTTCGATACTGTGCAGCAGTGCGGCACCACGAAGAGGCGTACACAAATATACCCTCTAAACCACAAAGATGAGATCTGTGTGTAGCTATCACAGACAGCGCACTCAACAGCTGCTTAGGCTGTGTGGCAACTATTTTAATTAACGTAACCAAACTATCTCAGAGACCCGCGTACAACGCCATTGTATGATTCTCTTTGTGAGAATGAAAATAGATTCATGCGACCCCCCCCCTCCCCATGAAAAAAGAAAAAACAAACAACTCGGGCTGCATGTTTCACGCAAATAATCGGTGGCCACCGTTTTCCTTGTTCATCCAGATATGTACTTCTGGCTCTCTGCGTAGAAGAACTCTCTGAATTTTTTCAAGCGTTGCATCTCCGTACTGGGAGCTACTCCTGGCTTTGGTGTGAAGCAACCATTGGTGACGTCCGTCAAGTGCACATTGAAGAGAAACCAAGTGAATTTGTGTTTTCTGTCCTTGCTACTCATAACTAAATCAGCCTGCAAAAGAAAATTAAGAAGAGCTCAATTATTGCTTGAAAAACAAATGACTCGGCAATCAGTCAGACACGATGAGTTGATTACTGCTGAGCATTGCGATTCAGAAATATGGACACTTACAATGATATAGAGTAGATGTCTTAATCTCTGAATCACCTAGCTAGTTCCATCACACCCAACACCATCTCTTTTTGTTCTTAGAGGAACTGATTTTGAGATAAGAAAATGTGCTTCGACAGTGATTCAGAATCATCAACAGGGTGATGTATTTAGGCAAATTCTCATTCTTCGAGGCCAATGGAGAGAGCCAACTTCATCTTTGTAGGCTTTGTTTTATTATATGGGAGTGCTGTTTAGGACAAAAAAGGTGCGTCATGATTATTTCCACGGCTGTGAGTGGTAGGGCATACTTAGTACACAAGCAGAATAAATTTGTATATTGCGCTTTCATCCCCGACCATGAAATAAATCACATCTTCTATATCTTTCATTTGCGTGTGTACATTTCTTTCACAAGAGTACCACAGGTACGTATTCTTGGTTTGAAGTTTATTGTTGTGCCAAACGAGTTCAGTGCGTTTAACTTATCGTGACAATCAACGTGACATCTCACAGCCATAAAAAGGGTATTAGCGGTTTCTGGTTGTCTTTCTTATTTTAACTCATGTATCTCCTAATATAATGTTGACAAAAATATCGCGATTGTTCTTTAGAGATAATCTCTCGCTTTGTATATATGAAATATACAATTTGTTCCTATCGCTTTCATTTATTCATTCCTACGGTGACACTAGCGTATATTTTATCATGGGGCTTGAGCGAACAGTCATGCTTCATGAATATACAATTTTCCGATGAAGTTATTTGCTCAAAATATTTTCTTTCAGTGGTAAATATAAACGCAGCACTCTTAGAGACGCGTGTATAGCGTAATTTCAGTGCAATTAAAGACCACCAGTTGGTCTAAATTTCCCGAGAGCCACACTACGACACACCTCATACTCAAACCACAAGTCCTTCCTGTGTATAACTCTATATAATATTATAACAATGTCTGGCACTGGGCATTCGCGTTTCTTTTGTGATGTGTAGCAGCCTGAAAACATCCTCTATAGGTTTGTTTTCTGATGTTAGTTTCCCCTTTGAAATGATTTATGCTAAACGAGTCCACTTCTTTAGAGCGAAAGCGATGATTCTATGCATCGGTGATCAGATGAATTTTTGATGCTTTCCAATCTATGCACTTGTCACGCATGGTCAAAGGAAATCAACATAACTTTAAAAATTACCTTACCTGCAGTCATCTTTATTCATAAAACAGAGAAACGTATGAGGATGCCACCTCAAGCCAAACTGAAGTTAGCGAGGCAAGCAGTATTATCAAAATAATGAGAAGTCGTACCTTTTCCTTCATTGTGTCCAGCGAATCAAAGGTAATGAAAAAAGTTCTGTTGACAGCTGTATTAATGCCAGCCATTACCTTCTCACTTTGTAGTTCCGTGGTACTGCCTTCGCATGACTAGAACGAATGAAAACACGTGTAAATCGAGAGCTGGGGTGTTCATTTGCGCAGATTATCACAAATAAATTTTTGTTAGGGCACGGTATGCTTCGTATGACTACCTTTATGGCAGTGAACGTGATAGCGCGTCAAATCTACCTATTTGTTTATATCTTATATAGTAACTGCTGATATAAAACTGAAATCAACTCCGCGCGAAAAATAAAAGAACATGGTTGTCCCTCAAATAGAAAAGTCGGTAGAATACAAAACGGAGCCATGTCTTCCCAGTGCTAGTTGGTGCTTTGTTGTTCATTGATATAGGTTAGATTGCACAGTGCCTGTAGTTTTAAGGCAGCTATTGCACTGTTTAACGCGGATGCACCAACGTTGACGCATTGTGGCGCATCGCCATCCCGTTGACTAGTGACCATGCTCATGAATAAACATTTCTGGCAGCTGAAGTAGTTAGCATCGTCTGTTAAATTCCGCGCAAAGATGACATCCATAAGTGCATGATAAACACGGATGCTCAATATAAGCTAGCTCAAAACGTCTTCACTTGAGAACAGAAACGCCAGCAGGGTGCCCTCACCAATTACACAGGAAGCTATGCCTGTGTCTATAGTGTACCACAAAGTGCTTCACGAACACGAAAGACAAGAGTTCCTAGATTGAACAATGAACGTGGTTAGGCGTTTCAATTTTTTACTGGCATGATTCTCACTCCACTGATGCATGTATTGCATGATATTCGCCTGTAGATGTTGTAGCCTTTATGTGGCGTTTAAATAGTTTTGTCAGTAGCTTCTGCTGCACTGGCAGTGTAAGACCCTGCGAAACTGCTGTATGTCGAAGTAGCACTACCAAAACGACGATGTGTCACATGCTGAAACGGCGTAAAAATTCTAGCACGTAACTGCTCATTAGCGAATTGAATCACCATGCTTTCATGCTGATAAACAGTTTCATGCTGAAAACAAAAAACCTAGTTGCATCATCAATGATTGAACAATACTTCCATTGGTGCATCTTTTTTTGTCACATGCATTGTTATCTATATTTATGCGAAAAAACGAAGGGCCCCATAATTATTGCTGCAACAGATATTGCATGCTTCATGACCAATGCTGATAGCATTGCCTGACTCGTCACACTTATACAAATCTCCTAATGGCCTCCTGAATAACCCTTCGAACTCACTAAGCTGGTCATCACGCTCGCAACAAACCCCGTCTTTAGGTCTGTCTAGATCATTCAGTTTCCTGCAATACTCACTGGAACTCCGGCACTATGATCGTTCAGCCACCATGAACGATAGGTGGTGCAAGGATTTGTCTAAATGCAGTGTTCCTGTCTTGTAACACACTTGCAGCTTTATTTGTTGTATTAGGCATATTTTTTTCGGACAAAACAGTGGATCGTTGTCAACTTCATGTACCGATTTGAAATGATGGGCCTAAATATTTGAAGGTGATCAACAGAGACTGCTGACCTATTTCTGAACTTCGTTTAAAGACATAGCGGCTGAAGGCCACGAGCTGGAACGCCAAGATCAAAGAACGAAGGTTAGACAAATCTGTGTGCTACCCATCTCTCGGGTGATGATTGAGGCCCCGTACGTTGAAGCTTCTATAGAAAGTAACACCAAATTTTCTTCTAGAGTACAATTAGGAAATCTCTATAGCCCAGTCTAAACTTGATAATCCACAGGCAGTCGCACCTCAGAACTTGTCCTTCTAAATTATAAGGGAGCATTACTTGCGACAGCACTGGCAATGCATAGGGGGGTTGGGAGGGCTAAAAAGCTCCCATGCCATGCTCTCATAAGACTACATGTGATAGTGGCCTAGGAACATTTCATCCCCCTGTATTTGCATGAGTGCTGAGCTTGTCGCAAACGTGGGACAAACCGGAAAGACATTAACGTTTTGTTCAACCTACCACCGATGTCATCCTTCTAGCCTTCATCATCCACTCTCAAAACTTGTACAGAAGCCATGTCCCTCCTTTGAAATGAAAATTTTGAGATGTTGCGTCGATGAAAGGACTCATCTCAACACGAAACATGACTGTTTCTTGGCGTGTTAGCAGCACCGCGGTGAACATGCTGACGCTGCACTCGAATGGTTAGAAAAATACCGACTATCTTCCAAGCTTATGTACTAATGTTAGTACTATTGTGCCAATTTAACCGTCTTCGATATGTCATCAACAAAATCGTCGTAAGCATTGCTTTTTTTCTATACAACAACTTCGACAGTACGGTAATAGTGGAATTGTAAAGTTTACTCGCAAGAGCCATGACACGCAGAATTGCTGGATTGGAACATTGATATCTTTTTGGTGTTAGCTAAAAAGTGCTGCTTACGACAAGGCGTGCACAGAATCACGTAGACAAGGTTATTTGCCTACATGCTGCATTGTTCCACTTCAGTATTAGTTCAGGATCGAAAACTTGTCATACAAGGGCGGACTGCAGTCAGGCAGGTAGCCACCATATTTAGAGTAAATGTTTTTTATATCTGTTCCTTTCTTTTTTCTGGATAGGGTATCGCAAATGTTACGTAATTGGTAAGGTGCAACTCTTAGCAGTTCTGTTAATCAATCTTTCGGACAGTTGTTCTGAACCCTATTATTACGGTGATTGTGCACACGTAACATCGGTGTATGCGCAAGCACAGTATTAGACACTGTATACGTACCAGCATAACATTAAGACCCTTTTTGAAAGAGCTCTGTGATTACATACTCAAAGCAGCTCCATCTTGCCAATATTAGCCACCTTACAGAAGGCCTCGTCCGTTGTTTTCGGGGCTTCTTCGTCATGTTAGAGCACATCGCAGGTATTCACATTTACGAAGCACTCGAGTGTTGTCTACGCAGATGCATTTATATGTGATGATGTGACTGCATGGAATACAAGTTTGACATCGTCCTGTGTGACTATATTAGCGTTATAGGTACATCATTTAGTTTCCTACCAATGTTGCTTGTCAGTGTTCCTTCGCCTAGTGCTAGTGTGAAAAACAAAGTTAACACCAGTGGATGAGTACTCGAACGTAAGAACGAGTAAGGCAAAGGTATGAATATGGATAACATAGGAAGGCTTCGAATCACGGGGCACAATTACCAGCAGATAGTTGAGTTGGTAACGAAGGCTTAGGAAAGAATATAGTGCGAAACAACATGGATAAATCAAAAGAAAGCAAGACGACACTAACGCCAACTATCCACAAAAGGCTTTTCACGATTGCGGTAAAATAAAGAACACAAAATAAGTTATCTGTACTTCCAAAAATATGGCAGTGCCGCCTGTAAATGTTTTACATTCATGGGTGTGCGTGGCCATAACTGTTCAGGCACATGTATACACATGTATACTTTATATGTATACTTCTCATGTATACTTGTATACATGTATACACATGTATACTTTATATGTATACTTCTCATGTATACACGTATATTTCTCACATGTATACTTTTACATTGTCAAGAGTCGCCCCGCCGTGGTGGTCTGGTGGCTAAGGTACTCGGCTGCTGACCCGCAGGTCGCGGGTTCAAATCCCGGCTGCGGAGGCTGCATTTTCGATGGAGGCGAAATTGCTGTAGGCCCGTGTGCTCAGATTTGGGTGCCCGTTAAAGAACCCAAGTGGTCGAAATTTCTGGAGCCCTCCACTACAGCGTCTCTCATAATCATACGGTGGTTTAGGGACGTTAAACCCCACATGTCGATCAACATTGTCGAGAGTATGACGAAAATTTGGTGCGGGCACTGTACTATGCGGGCACAAGAATGAGCAATTTGTGTTAGGGTTGCTAACTTGCAGTGGAAGCCCAAGTGTATCGAAATACCAGACTTAAACGATAAGCTTTCCTGCGCCTTGCATTTGCTACACTTTTGTACATACACATTACGGTGCGCAAATCAAATTTTCTCGTGCAGGTTCACCCGCAGCAGTGACTTACAGAAACCGTATGCTAAGTAGCACACCCTTACCTCTGGCATGCTGCCTATGGCAAAACGGGTACAACGTTGATACGCCGCGTACTCCGGCTTCATAAACCTTACGGGCATATGGTAATTCAACACGCCCATCTGGAATGCGAAAGCAACTATTTTTGCGTTGGTAGCGAACGATGTAGTCTTCATGGGGATCGTATTCTTCTGTAACAGAGAATGTGCACAATTTGTAAGTCCTTTGCCGAAGCTTTTACGTCGCGGCATGCTTGAAAGAATGCTGTCTCTGCGTCAGAAGCATATACAGTTATTCGAACTGAGACCGCTTTTAAAGCCCTCTTTTTCTTGATTCTAAACGTGGTTATGATAGAAAGTCGAATCATTTTAACTGAGGTTATTTCAGGTGGTCGTCATGAAGTCATCATTGGTTAGTTGTGATTTTCGAGCACACCTTTACAAGGAACATCACACGTGACAAAGGATTTCATAAAAATCCCTCCCTAAATACAACATGTGGGCGTCATCGCAAAAATACCGTAAGCGCCCGTGGCCTAAACTGAAATTTATTCAATCATCACGCTGTGCCATAAGCAAAAAGCTACCTAAGAAGCGAAGTTTCGTAACCCCTTCAGAAAACTGATCTTCTAAATTCATTTCACAATTTTTTTTAATTTCCAATAAAGGACACTTTAATACTGGCTCTTAGTGATTTACAGCTTTACACAAGAACTGAATGCACTATTTGAACTACAAAATATGTCAGCTATAATACCTTTGGAATTCAAGAATTCTTTATCTGAAATTATGAAAGAACGCAGCAGAAATATCATTTTATTCTTCGTATATTCGCACTACAGTTGCAGTTCCTAAAATGTCAACAATTAAACGACATATCACCGCATTATACTTCCATGTCTGTGCGTGGAAGCGGCTCTTGAGACTGGCTTCTCGCTTAAATAACATTTAGGATTATAAAGCCATGCTTTTTTGTAGACATTGAGCAATGGTTGCTGCTGCATGCACTGATTACGGATACACGTATGACATTTAAGACATCGACTGCTACAGCTAACGAAAACAAATGGAACGCACCGCTAAAAAACAACTATTTTTCAGGTACTGCTGATTGGGCGTAGGGTATTCGATACATCGATGAGTGTCACAAGACAACATGATAAAGAAAGCATCAGCAACGGGTGAAAGAGGTAATTCTGTTTTTTGTTGTTTTCGTTAGTGGGAACAAACACCCTTCATCTATAGCTGTCACACAAAAGGCCATCATATACAACAAGGAAAAACACACAGCCGAAGCACACAACTGTTTTAGACAAGTCAACAATGAACACAGTGCTACTCTGACCACAGCTAACACACTCCACGAGTGGAAAAATTTGATATAGTGTACTTGTATTTCGCAATAAAAACAGGAACTTCTCAATTCTTCACTTGTAAGGGACTCAGCGCTAAATTACACCAAGACTGCTAGAAAGCAAACAAAAATTACTACTTCTTTTTGCACGCACAATGGCAAAAAAAAACAATAATGCAAATATTTGAGACGTTTTTAGTGCTACGGCAGCTGTTCCTCCCTTTCTATATGCCCTTGATGTGTGCGCCGTTGGTTTCTGATGATCGACAAACTTCTCACAGGCATATAATCATCATTGGCGATGTTGTTCTCAGTGGAATATTTCATGCTTATGGGGGCAAGGGGACAGACAGTGCCCAAGACAGAGGCTCACTTACCATCGATGACATCATATTGCTTTTTGGATCCCAGGCGCTTGCAGGCATTGCCTTGCAAGTTGACAGGCTGCGCACCGTCAACACGCACGTAATAATAACTACCACGGTCACGTCATCCCTGCGACAACGTGAGAAAACCTTATGAGACATCAATTGCGGCACTATCTACATCGACGAAAAAAGATGTTTCAATTAATCTATCTATAGGTCACAGACTTTGGGATAAGCAGGCTACGGTGTTTCGTGTTCGCGCACTCAAGCTTACACTGCACCCCAACGCCCTCTGTAGTTTTTTTTTTCATAAGCTAGTGATATTGCTCAGTTCAACCATTGCAATCATTCATTCATAATAGGGACGTGATGAAAATTCCCACAGTGCCTCTCGTGATCTTGGGGTTGGCTAGTGGTGCATGCTACCAGTAAGGATAGCAATATAGCATACCACGTAGAATATATATATATATATATATATATATATATATATATATATATATATATATATATATATATATATATATATATATATATATACTGTACGTAGCGTCAAAGAAGCGGGAAAGCACTTCATGACTAACGTTTTGACCGCGCCACGGCCTTATATATAAATATATGCCTATTTCCAGTATTCCCACAAGTTTTTTGCTGCATAGGTAGGTACCGGTAAGACGGTGGTCTTTTATACACTCCTCTTGATGAATAATGGCAATCTACTATTTGTCAATAAAGGTTCCTTCTCGAATGTGCGCCACCTCTTTTTTTATAAAATGTATGTAACGAGAGGTTGGTGCCTATGAGTGGCGCCAGCTACTCCTCTTGCACAAAAGTCGACATCGCACATTTTGTTGCAAACACAAGGCTATACATATGTACATAGCACAACGCTTACCCAAATAGTCCACGCTTTTCAATACTGAGTGTCCACACCACACAAAAACGTGTCCACACTACACAGAAATGTGTCCACACCTCACAGAGTTTGTAAAAACACAAGTAATCATGCCAGTTTAAGTGTTCACACAAAACATGAAAGTTCAATAAAATGTCTAAGGTGATCTTGTCGCTTAAGTACTGAACTGTTTTCAGAAAGGATTTTCCGAAAAATATCTTAGTGAAGCACGAAAATATTTTTTGAAACATACCGGTTAACAGTGGCAATAATACATTTTTTTTCGTTTAGTACTTTTGAGCTATTTCTGATTGCTCCAGAAAGTGAACGACTGCACGCGCTTCAGTAGCTTGTAGCTTTTCTTTTGGCCATGGACCCTAGATTTTTGCAATTCATGGCAGTCGCTTATTCTTCTAGTTACTTCCATCTCGTCATTCGGCTCGACGGTTACTACCTGTTCGAATTAGACGCAGTCTTTTACAACTTCAAGCGCACTGCTACCTCTCCCGAAGCGCTGTTCTTTTACGAGATTGTTGTATATTACTTTCGTTACCTGCAGATTAATTTAGGACCCATCTTTCTGCTCACCTTGTCTAATTCAGTAATCATGAATTGAAATTTGTCTCCAGAGTTACTCGGCAATGCAATGTCATCGGCGAAGCGCGCGTAACTAAGGTACTCTCCATTATCTCGTATACCTAACTCTTCTATTCTACGCCTCTGCGAACCTCCGGTGAAAACGCGGTAAATAGCATTGGGAAACTCATATCTCCGCAGTATAACGCGGCCTTTATGCCATATCTAGAGCGATGGGGTACTCACGAAGTCAGTTTTGTCACCGTCGCCTTCAGAGTGTTGTAAGAGTCCTTGAAGTCGTAGCTGTAGTATCCGAAGCCAAAAATAATGTGTGACGATTTCCCATATTCCGAAGCTGGAATGACAGATCTTAATTTCTGCAAAAGAAAGAAAATTAATGCTAATTTTTATTTCCTCTAGGGTTCATTCCTTTTCAAGCTAGAGCGAGAATGTAGAAGAGGATGCATGAGGCGGAATAATAGAATGAGGCATCAAGAACATCGTACATAAATGAAAGCAAAAGCACTTCTCACGTACCAAAGTATTTGACATTATATTACGCAAAAACTACCAATATAGAATAAATATCTTCATGCGCGAACTTGTTTGATGAGGGTTACACCTAAAATATTGCTTTTCTCAAGTTTTCGTTGACCTCTCTACAAACTTCTTTTGTTGTTCAACAAGTCTGAAGTCATATTTGGAGTGCCGTCTGCTAAGCTTATAGCTCAATATACGGTATTAAATAGCGACGACCACCAGGAGTTCATCTGTTTTAGGATCAGTTTGTTCAAGGTTCTAAGTTTCCTACAACCATAGGCGTGTTCAATAAGATGGGGCAGCGGGGAGGCACCAGCGATTAACTGTCCGAGGGGGTGGGGTAATCATATCACGTACCTTTACTCAGGCTAACCTGTCCTATCATTGTTTAGAGAAGAGCCTTATTGCTGCATAACACGCCCCCCCCCCCCTTCCAATGGGGAAGCTTGTGCCATTTTATGACTACGGTTACTTGTTCGGCTATAGCTTGAATAACGAACATTCATCACTTCATTACATTCGAAGTAACCCTGAAAACTGACTAAACTATACTGCAAAAGGATCAAAATGTGGGCCAGTTGGTAATTCATTTTCTTCGTTCAGCGAACTGGGAGCGCAGAGAAAAACACAAAGGACGAAGCGAGGAACCACACAACACGAGCGCTCAACTATCAACTGATTTATTTTCCACATCGGAAGGACATATATAAACACAAAATGCGCATGTCAAAAAGATTATGACGAAATCAAGGGCAGCATGCGAAGCGTGTAATCAAGGCACATGTCTAAGGGTTATCTAGGTAGCTGAATTCACAGTCAAGTAGTGAGATGGAAGGATGACTTATACATTGGTCCGTATTCCTGGAAATGTGATAGGCTTCAGAAATTTCGCGCGTAGTTTGATGAGGATGCCGGAACAGAACAATTGTATTCTCAAACAGAGGTTGGCACTTGCACGAAACGCAATGTGACGCTAAATGGGAGTAAGGTGTGTTTTTCAACGAGCTTCTGTGTTCCCTGAGACGCACGTTCACACATCGGCCGGTCTGGCCAATGTACATACGTCCACAAGAAAGGGGTATCTTATATACTACTCCGGTGATGCACTTAACAAACTTAGTTACGTGCTTCTGGAGGCATCCTCTACCTTTAATGGTGCACAGGAGGGCACATAATGCATCTAAAGGTAGAGGATGCCTCCAGAAGCACGTAACTAAGTTTGTTAAGTGCATCACCGGAGTAGTATATAAGATACCCCTTTCTTGTGGACGTATGTACATTGGCCAGACCGGCCGATGTGTGAACGTGCGTCTCAGGGAACACAGAAGCTCGTTGAAAAACACACCTTACTCCCATTTAGCGTCACATTGCGTTTCGTGCAAGTGCCAACCTCTGTTTGAGAATACAATTGTTCTGTTCCGGCATCCTCATCAAACTACGCGCGAAATTTCTGAAGCCTATCACATTTCCAGGAATACGGACCAATGTATAAGTCATCCTTCCATCTCACTACTTGACTGTGAATTCAGCTACCTATAACCCTTAGACATGTGCCTTGATTACACGCTTCGCATGCTGCCCTTGATTTCGTCATAATCTTTTTCACATGCGCATTTTGTGTTTATATATGTCCTTCCGATGTGGAAAATAAATCAGTTGATAGTTGAGCGCTCGTGTTGTGTGGTTCCTCGCTTCGTCCTTTGTGTTTTTCTCTGCGCTCCCAGTTCGCTGAACGAAGAAAATAAACTATACTGCTATTTCTAGTACATCATATCCTTTCCTCTAAATTCATTGCCGTGTTCTCCCGCGTTTGCATGCACTTCTTTTCTTCGCCTAAGCACTGAATTCGCATAAAAGTACAAGTCTATACTCATGAGCTTGTCTGAGCACGTGGTGCCGTCCAACTGTGAGAGATTGACCCATCTTTCTGCTCACCTTGTCTTATTCAGTAATCATGAATTGAAATTTGTCCCCAGAGTTACTCAGCAATGCAATGTCATCGGCGAAGCGCGCGTAACTAAGGTACTCTTCATTATCTCGTATACCCAACTCTCCTCATTCTACGCCTCTGCGAACCTCCTGTGAGAACGCGGTAAATAGCATTGGGAAATCATATCTCCGCAGTATATCGCGGCCTTTATGCCATATCTAGAGCGATGGGGTACTCACGAAGTCAGTTTTGTCACCGTCGCCTTCAGAGTGTTGTAAGAGTCCTTGAAGTCGTAGCTGTAGTATCCGAAGCCAAAAATAATGTGACGATTTCCCATATTCCGAAGCTGGAATGACAGATCTTAATTTCTGCAAAAGAAAGAAAATTGATGCTAATTTTTATTTCTTCTAGAGTTCATTCCTTTTCAAGCTAGAGCGAGAATGCAGAAGAGGATGCATGAGGCGGAATAATAGAATGAGGCATCAAGAACATCGTACATAAATGAAATCAAAAGCACTTCTCACGTAACAAAGTATTTCACATTATATTACGCAAAAACTACCAATATAGAATAATTATCTTCATGCGCGAACTTGTTTGATAAGGGTTACACCTAAAATTTCGCTTTTCTCAAGTTTTCATTGACCTCTCTACAAACTTCTTTTGTTGTTCAACAAGTCTGAAGTCATATTTGGAGTGCCGTCTGCTAAGCTTATAGCTCAATATACGGTATTAAATAGCGAGGACCACCAGAAGTTCATCTGTTTTAAGATCAGTTTGTCCAAGGTTCTAAGTTTCCTACAACCGTAGGCGTGTTCAATAAGGTGGGGCAGCGGGGAGGCACCAGCGATTAACTGTCCGAGGGGGTGGGGCAATCATATCCCATACCTTTACTCAGGCTGACCTGTCCTATCATTGTTTAGAGGAGAGCCTTATTGCTGCATAACACCCCCCCCCCCTTCCAATGGCGAAGCTTGTGCCATTTTATGACTACGGTTACTTGTTCGGCTATAGCTTGAATAACGAACATTCATGCACTTCATTACATTCGAACTAACCCTGAAAACTGACTAAACTATACTGCTATTTCTAGTACATCATATCCTTTCCTCTGAA